ATATTTAATGTTGAGAGTTAGGTGCAGCAGCATTGATGTGGCCTTTCCAAAGAGGAACCTTCTGCATACATGTATACTTGCATGGAGCAGGACTTACTTGGTATGTGTAATACAAAGTGTTTTTGTTAGTGTGTTTTTGCTAAAGCGACCCCGGGGCTTCAAAAAGTTAGTGGGAGAAAAATGGAATGAAAAGATAACGGATTTTCCCTCTGAATATTCTGAAGGACCCTTTCATTTTCTTTCTTGGAACTCTAGGCAGAAAAAACCAGACTCCCCCCCAACCGCCCCACCCCTACCCCCATGCCCCTGTCCTTTGGAAGCTAAATTGTCATAGGTAAAGAGACGAGTTTACTAGGCTTGTCAGTTGTTCTCCTGAGCCTGACTTTGGTGGGTGAAGAGAAACACGCTGACTCTGTTCTGAACAGATGGATGTCGGATCCTGGCCACCAACTCTTCACATCAATGCTCAAGTCAGCTTCTTCCAATGTGGCTGCTTGTCCCATAGGGACCAACAGCCAGCTTGAAATGGGCACTCTCTAGCAGCAAGCTGGTGACTGCAATTTTACAGCCCTGTTTATGAAACCTGTTCGGGCAGAATATATTACATTACCTTTCCGTTCCAATCACTGTGGCCAAAAAGTTAAGGTGCCAGTACGATTCTTGGTCTCTGGTAGTTGGTTTCTGGATGGCATTACTATGAGTTCAAATAAGAATGAAAGGTTCCCTGCAACAATTATATACAGAAAGTGTGCCTTGGAAACCATCTTCCCATTTAGACAAACAACCAAACAAAACCCCATCATTTTAGATGGTGCACATTGATTTTCTTTATGTAATTGTTATTGACTTTAGTCTTCTATAATATTATAGTACTTACACTCTTAGTTATTACAGTACTTAGAAACAAGACTGAAATAAGTGATGTTATCCACAACGTATTATTTGAAGAGACTGTTATCTATGTATTAAACAAATGTTAAAACAAAACAAAATAACAAAGCCAGAGCGCTTAAACATTATTCTCTAGGATGGAATTGCTTTAGGGATCTCAATATATGCTTGTTCATTAGTGAATTGTTCACAAATCTTTGAACATCACTTAGCTTCTGTAAGTCTCAATTTCTTTACTTGTCCCTAGTGTTGGCATAGTTCCTGGAACTCAGTAGATGCTCTATAATCACTTGCTGAATTGAATTTACGTAATTACATTAGTTCTGGGAATAAACGTTTAAGGTGTATGAGTGCATGTGTGTGTTTGTGTGTGTCTTTGTTAATGAAATTCCACAATTTTTCAATGGTATAAACTAGGCAACTGGGTAACTGCCCTTTAGAGATTGTATGCTCCATTACAATTGGTTATATTGTCCTTTCAATTGGCCATTGTGAAACTAACAATTTTTTGTGCCTTTTTCCTTATATCCACATTTGAAATAGAACTTCTTCATCTCCTGAGCAAAACCACTAGACAATTCTGCAATTTCCGGATGCTTAAGTGTGCGTGTGAATCTCTAAAGTTGAATGAATGTTTAGGAAATTCAACTACAATGTCAGGAAATGGACCTCTGGAAGCAGTGTGTAGGTTCTTAGTGACAGAGCCCTCAGTATTTTTGCAATTAGGGTGTGAAAATGATGTTTTTTGAAGGAACTAAAGGGAGACAGGTGCAGACCAAATGCACCTGGGCTCCTTGGAGTTTGTAGAAGATGAATAAAGAAAATTAAAAGGAAGAATGTGAGGGCAAAGATAGACAAGAGGTGACAGAGGTGAGTTTTTAAGAAAAGATTAAACGGACTGCATAATTGCTAGGAGAGAAACAAGCTGAGTCTCCTTTCATGAAATTCCTAGTTATCAATTGTCCCTGCCACCCAGTCTTTTCAAAATGTAATAACAAAGAGACAGCCAGGGGCAGAGGGGGATGATGGGCAGTTTTAAAACCTATATCCCATGGACATGGTTGTTCGGGTTGGTCTGTGTCTCCTTCTGCCAGAGCTCTCTTTTCATTAATGAGTATTTTTGTACTTAATAGCTGGTCAGAGGATTTCCTTGGTTTCAGAGTGTTTCAAGTCACTGGAAAAGTGACTGGCCACTTTTTTTTTTCCTTCCAGAACTCTTGAGGTGGAAATTGAGGAGATAACCTGAAAGTCTTTTCCCTGAAAGTCTTTTCCCTGTACAGTTGAAGTTGCGGGCAGTTCTTCAAACGGAGTGTTAATTATTTCTAGAATATACACACGCACGCGCATACACATGGTACGCGCGCGCGCGCACGCACAAGGCAAGAACACGTTTTGTTTTGGAGGAGGAGATTGGTTTTTAGGAAGGCTCCTTTACATACCACTGGTTTACATACCGCTGGAGAAGAGCAGGTTTTTATGCCATCCGCTCCCTATTGCTATTTAAAAGCCTAACCAAGAAATAGTACAGGAAGCAGATACTACTCTCCTAGGGAGTCCAGTTGTCACCTTTTGTTCCTTTGTTGACAGGGCGGTGGGGACAGGGCTGCCGGTTGCTGAGGGGGAGGGGAGTGTGTGTGTATGTGTGTGTGTGTCCTACTGATTCCTGCCTGAAGCGGATAGCAGTACTGGGACCAGGGAGATGGAAATCATCATACTCTTGGTTTCCAGATTTCTCCCCAGAGTGTTCAGCTCTGTGTATTTCCTCCCCCTTGGCAGTGGGTGCAAATACCTGTACTGAAAGCCAGGAAGATGGGAACACAAGGTCCCGAGATCTCCCCCTGGCGTCACCCTATGCTAACTATCTTTCTTCCGGAGACTGAAATCTGGTTCCCTGCTCACTTGGAGCGCAGCGACCAGCCTTCCCAGAAGCCATCCTATCCTCGGGTAGCTGCCACTTGGGCGGAGAGCAACTGGGCCGGGTCATTAGCGCCAGCCAAAGCTCCAAACGTGCTTTAGTGCAACCCCTAGCGGGCTTCTAACTCGGCTGTCGCCTCTTGCTTTTCGGTGTCTGTCCTTGCAGAGGAAAATTACAAGCGTGTGAGCGCAAATATTTTCACACGCCCTTTTCGCCGAGCCTAAAAAATTAAAAAAAAATCCGTAAAGGTCCCTGGCTCAGTGAAGGCTCCACTCTGGGCGCTCTCTAGTCTTTCCCTCTGGGCAGGCTGTCCCAGGGCTGGCCCGCTGCTCCGCGCGCCCCCTACCTGTCTAGGGTTGGGGTAACGCTGGGGGCCGGGGGCCGGGGGCCGAGCCCCAGGGCCCGCCTGCCAAGCCCCTGGCGCGGGCAGCTCCCCTGGCTCAGCACTTGGTATCTCCCACGGTGTGGCTCTCTCCGGGAAGGGGAAGGCGGCTGGGGGCGTCGCCGCCGCCCTTCCCGGAACCCAGCCAGCTCCCGCGCGCGACCGCTTCCCACCGCCGAGGCACCTAGGGTCCTCCGTGCGGAGGTGGGTGGCAGGACAGTGCCTGCCAGCGGGGCGAGCCTGCCCAGTGGGACTCTCAGGGACCCCGAAGCGAGTTTCTGGGAGTGCGAATTCCGCCTCTCCGCTTTTTGGAGACAGCTGAATCGGAGAGGAGAGGGAGGGCTCCCAGGTGGGTGGCGGCGCGCCGGGTACGCGCACTCTGGCCCGGAGAGGTGCGGGGAACCCAGGGCCTGGCGGGCAGGCCCTCTTCTGTGAGGGACGTCTTCAGTCCCGATCTGACGCGCCACCAGGAGACGGCGTATGGCCGCCGCGGCGGGCGGGCTGGGGTCACCCTGCCTGCGGGAGCCGGTCGGTCCCGAGGCTCTCGCTGAGCTGGCAGGTCACTTCCGCACCGCGCTCTCAGCCTTCTGGGTCCACTGGGCTAGTCTGAAAAGCAGCGGCCTGGGAAAAGGAGGAACCTAAACAACTGATCGCTTTCTCACTGTGTGTGTGTGTGTGTGTGTGTGTGCGCGCGCGCGCGCGCCAAAGTTCTACTAGCAAGAGACTTCGCCTTCTAAGTCGGTCCCAAGGCTTTGCACATCGCAGCGTGTGAAGAGCGCAGCCTTCCCTTTGTGTGTATGCTTTGTGTGTTCGCGCGCCTGCATGTGTGTCATGACTAAGACAAACCATCCCAGCTGGATCCCGAGGTCCACAAACACTCTTCCGTATCCCCACCGCACCCTCGGGAGGAAATAATAAAAGCTAGCCCGGCGTGGCCCCTGGCCAGGAGCCTACCCATTGGAAATCGGAATTTCCTTGGTCCATTATTCCCATCCTCAACTGTCTCCTCTTTGCCCATCCTCCGATAACCCTGAGCTTTCGCACCTTCACTTTCCTTCCTCGCCCGGATACCTGCTCCTTCAATCTTCCCCAGCCTCCTGCCTCCTGCCTCCTGCCTCCTGCATCCTGCTCCTCCCCACCCCCAACCCCCGCCTCTAAGCACCCTCCACCCCCACACTTCATCTCAGCTGCGGCTAAAACCTGGAGTCTTGGGGAAAAAGAAAAAAAAAAGAAAAAGAAACCCTGGGCTGTGGAGCTGTCAAACCGGGCATGCTCAGTAGACAGGTCAGGTTTTTTGGTCTCGAGTAGCAGAGAAACATTTTTTGCACCGCCGCTACCAGCCTTAGAGCGCGGCGGCAGCGGCCACGTTCACATCGGCGCAGCCATCCGCCTTGCAGACGCCCAGCTACCGGGAGCGCGGCAGGCACAGGCGCAGCTCGGAGTTCCCCTCCGGGTGCCCTGGGGGCCGAGGTCTCTCTCCCCTTCGGCTCGCACCCACACCCACCCACCCACCCGCACCGACGCGCGCACGAGCGCGCGTACACTCACCAACAGACACGCCACTCTCGCGCGCAGACACGCACGACCCAGGGGCGCAGGCACCCTCCCGGCAGCCGGCAGCCGTAGGCGCTCACGGAGCCGGGTTCGGTTCCTGCCCTTGGCGGCCGCTGGCTGAGAGCTCCTTCACCGCCAGCCGGAGGAGAGCGATGCTGGGGCCCGATCGGCGGCTAGAACAGTAATGTGGATTTACAGTCGCTGCGCGCAGGAGCCGGCTAAGGCGCCAGAAGTCCCAGGCACCGGCAGTGCCCAGCGGGGCTGATCACCTGGCGAGGGGGCGGGGGACTGCACCTGGGGACGCCAAGGAAACTTGCTCCTGGACTCGGTAGGTGCCTTTCTCCGGGCCCCCCACCTCTTTCCTGTGTGCTCCACACCCGCCACCCCTCTTCTACCCTGAGCATTCACTCCAGGCGAACTTCGCCTCTGGGCTACGGGCAGTGGACCCAGACTCTTGGCTGGCTGGAGGCAGCGGGCTGGGTCCGCTCTGGGAGTTCCGCCAGAGGTGGCCAAGCATTTGTCTCCCTCTGCCCGCGCTCTTCGCCTGCGCCAGGGCTTTGGACCCCCGAGGGAGATGGAGGTCCCCCCCTGGCCGCAGTTCAGGTTGACAGCGGGCCTTGGAGGCACTGCCCTTCAATGGCTCTTTGGGCTCATCACCTGGCACTTGTGCCAGTCAACTCCTAGGGATCCGAGAGGGGTGCTTCTCACCTAGGCTTTTGCGCATGGAACCCTGGAGCTCTAACAAGTGGAGCTGGGCTCTTGGGGAGGGGATTTGGGCCCGAGAAGAGCGAAGGGGCACCTTTCCTCCAGCATCCCTCCTACCTGGGGACTTGGTCACCCAGGTCGTGCTCCCTGTAGTCTCTGGGAGCTAAGATACTCAGGCACTAGGATGCACTTTAGTACCTGTTTGCTTCCAAATTCCTCTTAGAACCCCACTCAGGGAGCTCTGGTCAGGGTACAGGGGTGACTTCAGGAGCTCCTGGACACTACACCTTAGGGCTCCACCTGATGCGCCTTCCCTATGCCTGATCTTAATCCAAAGAGGCAGTTTTTCCGCGGCATTCATGCCCTGGTAACCTATAGGTGCTGGCTTTTAACCACGCGCTGGTTTGTGTGTTTTCTCATTTCACTCTGAGACCTGGTCCCCACCTTGGAGCCCATGGCCCGAGCACCTGCCAAGCGCCAGACACCCGCTATATTCGCCAGGGGGGAAATGTACCCTCTTTGTCCCCCCCTCCCTGCTCCGCTGTGGGCAGATGGCCAGTTCCGTTTTAGGCTTCTTTTTCTAGAGGTGAAGAAGGGGAGGCTGTTTGCGCAACTGGGCAAGTGGCTGTGTTTGCAGTCAGGAGTGTATTTCTACATTTCAGCGAACTCATTGTAGCCCGTTGTTTACAATTTCGGAGACAGAAGATCGCACTCCATGAGTGGATGTCTCCACGTTTATTTCGCCACTGGGAGAGTAGGGGCGGGGGCAGCTTGGGCTTGCAGCTGGTACTCATCACTGGCCACTTAGGTTTAGCAGAGCTGCAACCCCAGGTTGGGGGATATGCTAATTTTGGAGGGGAAAATGGTACACCTTCAACAGGGAGCAATTGGTTTGAACTTTCCCATTCCACTGCCTACCCCCCTTCCTGAACCCAAATTGCTAATACTGAAGGATATTTGAAGTGAGATACAAAGAGAAGTTCCCAGAGAAAACAAAAGGGAAATTAGTGGCCATTCAATTTCTGAAACCCTCCCAGGGCATATAAATAGGCACTGTTGGGTTAACATTGAATTTATCCTGTTTGTGGTAACTAAGGGTCAAAGGCAGCTTTCTTGAATTTTGCATGGCTGTTCTATGATTATAATGCACAAGCTAGGTGCAACTGTACTGTGAAAATAAATCACTACTATTGGGTGGGGGGGGTGTTGCAAATGTCTGCTGTAGTATTAGATTTTGGTTGAAATATCCCAGTCCATCTTCCGAGTCCGAAGCCTTCTGACCTGGAGTGGAAGGAACTCCAGCGCTTTCAAGAAAAAGGACAAGCTAAGAGGCCAAGGCCTTTGGTTTTGTTTTTGTTTTTGGCATTCCTTCTTCTAATGGAAAGAGGGTCTACCCTTTTAACTTCCATGATTATCAACATTTGCTTACTTACTCTCACTCCATCTCTGGCATTTCAAGCCTGCAATGTGGGGGAAGGGCCATAGTCTGACCCTTAAAGCAAATAGCTGGAAAAGCACAATCCCCACGTTGACAGTCTTGCCAAATTCAGAATATTCTTTTGTCTGTCATGTGTTAAATACTTTACAATGGCAAAGTTTTTTCCTTTTAAGGCTAATTAAAACCTTCCAGCTTTGGCAAGGAATGTTGACATATGCTAGCAATAATCAAAGAAAGTCACAAGATGAATCTGCAAAGGTTTGGTCATTCTTAAAAGGCTATCACATTCAAAGGTTCTTGGAAAGTTTTCAGGTTTTCCCTTACAATGTTTTTTTGTAAACAATCAAACAGAAGACAGAAAACAGGTGTTTCTGGACAACACTCATTGAAGCAATGTTAATAGTTACGTAATGAAACTAATAAGGCATAGTGTGCCCAGAGCAATAACTGGCACATAGGAGAGCACACATAATTTTGAATATATGAGTTAGTATTTACTATTTATTAGTTCTAGGCTGCAATTAAGACTTGGGAATGGTCATGTCATCTGACAAAATATACTGTGGAGCTGAGAAAGAATTGTTGTGTAGCATTGTGGAGTTGTGAGGGTGATGAAGTGAGATTCCAAATACTCTAACATATAGGTGTGCTAGAAGAAGTAAAACCGCATTATATATAAGTAGCCTCTAACCCAATGGCCTCATTTGAAATCTGCATGCCCAAAAGGTCTCATTGTTTCAGATCAGATTTTATATGTGTAAATAACCCTGCCATGATCTCATAATCATGATCAGTGTGCATTTCTCATGCCATTCACACAGATTCTTGCCTAAGCAGAATGTTCCGACATTCAGGTTTACTCTGTACAATAGTACCTACATCACTTAAAGTTGTCAAACTGCAAAATCTCCTTTTGATGTGTGTTTCTGAAATCCAAAGATTTAAATCGAACTTCATTATCCATGGACATCTTAGAAAATTTGAAAGAGGCAAGAAGTTCAGTGTTAATTAGCATAGCAAACCATTTTTTCCCATTTAGAAATAAGCAATTAGAATTCATATCATTTTTGTTTGAAACTTGTATTTCCAGAAAGCCCATACATTTTAGATTTCAGTGTAGTGAACAAGTGTTTAGTATAGAAGATGATGAATAAATTCCCTTTGGTTTTCCCAACCTATTTAATTTATTAATAATGATCTTTTTATCTATCTACCTATTTATCTATATGTACTTTCTTTTCAAATGACATGGGGCCAAAAGAAGACCAGTATTTCAAATATCAGACTCAGTGATTGATGTTTTAGAAAAAAAGGATTCTCTATAGTAACTACTTCTATATGAACTCATGCGTACATGCACATACACACACAATTAAAAACAAGCTAATATGAATGGCAAGCATCAGCTATAAAACATGTGATCATTTTATTAAATGTACATATATATTTCGTGAAAACATAAATTTTCATGTCAAAATCACGAATCCATGCATAATAAAACCAAATGGACAAATGGCCCATCACTTGCCATTTGGAACAAAGGTTTGACCTGGATTTCTAGCGCAACCACAGGGAGATGAAATGATGACGACTATTGTAAGAGATAGTATTTAACAATTGTGATCCACAGCACAGGTACATGGCTATAAATATAGTTGCTGATTATAAAAATGATGAGAAGCCGAATTTCAGAACAGATCCCCCTATACAATAACTTTATTTAAATCCTCTTCAGATTCTGAGTATTCAATTAGATCACTATTTCAAATGTAAAATTTTCCCCCTTCTCCTCAAAGGTAAAACATTCTGAATCCTGGATTATATAATATTTTTATTCCTTTCTATTTGCCATTGATTTTTAGGGCTGTGGAAAGTAAATACCAAATAGAACCAGTCAGAGCCGTGCTTGGTTTGAGCAGGTGAATGCTATAAAAGGCTGCACACAGCTTTGGATCTTTTTCCAACCACCTTCAGGGGCCAACCATAGGTGTCTCTTCAGGATGTGCTGCTCGACTGTGATGATTTATATAATGTACAGAGATGTTTGTCATGGCACAATTGAGGAAGACTACTGGAAATGTTTACATTGGAACTCAAGAACAAAAATAGGGCTGAAGAAATGGGAAGACATATGTCTGTGTAACATGGAAAATTATGGTATAACAATGTTTCTGTCAATTGCACTGGTGAAATTTCTGTACATACTTTAACCCAACTAACTTTAATTAGAGACAGTAAATATTTGTACAGTGGAGGCTGGATGCCTACTATTTTAAAAATCGGAATGCAGAGTCCAATAAATAAAGCCTGTCAAATCCTTATATAACTTCAGGACTCATTTCTAGACTTGGAAGTATAGTCTTGGATAATTTACCAAAAAAAAAAAATGTTCTGAATTTTCCTTCCTGTCCAAGCCTCCACTTTAGGGTAAACAATAGCATATGGTGAACCATGCATATGCCAACTAACCACTACCTCTTGGACGATGTTTTTAATGTGATGTAATGATTCTAAAATACTCCCAGCTCCACTGTAACCATATGAGTGGAAGAGTTCATTGGAAAGTGAACACAGGAGATGGATTAAATACTCTCTCGCTCTACCAGGGGCTCGCCTCCTGTGAAGCGCTTTCTCAGAGCCTTCCTATCTGTGTTCATGGTAGGTGTGTGCCAAGATTAATCTCTCTCTCTTTTTTTTGGGTACTCATGACAGGTGGTCTGTATGGCTGTATCTAAGTGACACCCCACTATGTGAGTGAAAAGTTCCGTCAACCATCCAGCTGTTTGGGGTGATACAAACAAACATCTGGTTGGTTGAGAGAATTTTTTACTTAGTCTCTGGATGTTTCGGAGTGATTTAACAGGCTGATGGATCTTAATCTTTCTCGTTGTCCAGAAAGACAGAAAAAGGAACGAAAACAAACTTTAAAAGACTTGTAAAGTACCTTGAACATTCATTGGTTTCTATATGTGCATATTGAACTGCATAGCTTACTATATCTCTGGTTTGCTATGAAATGTGTTCAGGAGATGCTGCTCTTATCCCAACATCGACAAAACCTCTCTGGCTTTCCTCACCAGCCAGGGTATTTCATAAGTGACCATTCCCTTCCGACCTTCAAAGGACTGATGCAAAGGTTTAAAGAAACTACCTCTTATCAAGTTCGAATATGTTGGCTTCTTACA